CTTATACCCACATTGGAGACCCAGAGGAGGCTCTTGGCTCTTGGCTCTTGACTTTGAATCGGTTCAGCTCTGATCCTTGCAACCATTATGGGAGTGAACCAGCAGATGGAAGATCTCTGTCTCTCCTTCTCTCTATAACTCTGCCTCTCAAATAAAAAAATATATTTTTAGAAAGATGAAGAGACATATTAGAGACCAAGTGACCAAGAGGTCATATCTCAAAGTGCTATATCCAACATGGGACTTCTACCTAAAACTCTGGCAACACAATAGTGAACAAAAAGTCCAATTAAATTTTTCAAAAGATAGATAACAGACATTCGTACCCCTCACCCCCGCAAGAGGATGTGCAGAAATACAAGTGTACCATAGCAGCTTAATTTCTTAACTTGATTATGGGCAACTGGAAATAACCAGATTGTCATTCATTGGATGAGTGGCAAGGCATGGATACCATTGAACACAGCTCAGCAGGAAAAAGCAACTAACAATGCCATGAAAGCATGGGACTGGGTCTCAAGGAAATTACACAGATCGCAGAAAGTCAATCTGAAAAGTATCTGTTCTGTATGATGCCATTATATAATATCTGTGTAGCAGCATAATTACAGAGTCGGAGAACAGATTAGCAGGCCCTGAAGGATGGGGTTGCAGGGGGAGGCTGGAGCCCTAAAGGGGCTCCCTGAGGTTTTCTGGGGGTTGGTACAGTCAGAAATCTTGGTGGTGGTAACGATTATGCAAAGCTATCCTCAAGATAACAGTGCATCCCAGGAAACTTTTCAGTCTCCAATAAATCAGGACATTGAGCACCCATCCCAGTCCTTGCAGCTCTCAGGAGGAACTAAAACTTGCCCTAGAGAAAAAATAAGATCTTTTGGCCACTTGGAAGAAGAGTTTGTAGGGCTCTGAGCAGACAGAGGCAGGAGCTAGCTACTGCTTCCGTGGAGCAAGAAATGAAGATGACTAGTTTGGCCAATGGCCAGGATGTTCACCACATTCTTTTGTTTTTCCTCCTGTGGGTAGTCTGGCTACATCTCCCAGATACCCTTGTAGGTAGTTGTGGTCATATGACATTTCTGACCAATAGGATGTGGGTGGGCAAGTGCTATTCTCTCCTCAATTTATTTACTTTTATTGGAAAGGCAGATATACAGAGAGAAGGACAGACAGAGAGAAATATCTTCTGCCCACTAGTTCAATCCCTAAGTAGCTGCAACAGCTGGAGCTGAGCTGAACCAAACCCAGGAGCCAAGAGCCTCTTCCAGGTCTCCCACATGGGTGCAGGGTCCCAAGGCTTTGGGTCATCCTCTACTGCTTTCCCAGGTTACAAGAAGGAGCTGGATGGGAAGTGGAGCAGCCGGGACATGTATTGGAGTCCATATAGGATCTCAGCACACGCAAAGCGAGAATTTTGCCACTAGGCTATCACACGTGGTCTTCAGTGAGCATTTTTCAAAAAACTTATTTGTTTGAAAGATAGTGTGTGTGTGTGTGTGTGTGTGTGTGTGTGTGTGTGTAAAAGAGAGAGAAAGAGAAAGAGAGAGAATATGAGAATGAGAGAGATCATACTGTGGTTCACTCACCAAATACCGATAGCAGCCATGTGTGGGGGGCCAGGCTGAAGCCAGGAACTACAGCTGGGTCTCCTACATGGATGGCAGGATCCCAAGCACTTGAGCCATTATCCACATCCTTCCCAGATACATTAGCGGGAAGCTAGATGAAAAGTGGAGCAGTCAGGACTCAAACCAGTACTCTGGTATGGGATGCTGGTGTTGCAAGCAAAACTTAACCCACTGCACCACACAGAGCTACCACCAGAAACCCCACCCTTGCTTCTGAATGAGCTTTCACCCATGGCATATTCTCTAAGACTGACAGTGAAAGTGCAGATAGTAGCATGACTACTGATTTTATTTTATCCATGCAGACCTATGATCAAGATTAATTTATAAATTAGATACAGTTAGAGATTAGCCACAATGATAATAAAACAGAACATTTCAGACAATATGTTGGAATAAAAGCTACATGAACGCAGGCTCTCTCAAAATGTCATAATTACATCTTTTCACTTACAGAAAGCACCTTGCAGTCCTGTTTGGCTTATCCCAACAGGGTTACATGAACACAAGCACTCCAGTTTTGCAACAGTAGATCTGATAGCTATGATGGGTGCGTAGCATATGCAACACGGAGATGCTAGGCAGCAGGCTGCCCCAGGGGACAGAGTGACAGTGAAATTTCATCCCACCACACAGAAGGGGGTGCACTATCCAATGGAAGAATTTTGATTGCTTTCTAGGATTTCCCGTTGTAATATTTTCAGATCACTGTTGACCACAGGTGCCTGAAACCCTGAGAAGAAGTGGGTGCTAGTGTACAGCAGAGAGCAGACTGTAAGCTGGGGGGGTGGGACCCTGAGACCCTGGTCCCACAGGGAAAGGTCTGCTGAGCAGGAACGTGTGATGTGAACTTGGCACATCCCCATCTATCTGTGACAGTGTCCCGTGATTGCGACCCCACAACGAATCAGGGAATCGGCGAGTGCTCACTCATGTCATTCACTGCACAAATATTTATTCATCACATTATGTGTCCGGCACACAGGGATAACACTGAAAACTCTCCTTGTGAAACTTGGCAAATAAGCAGGTAACAAACAGTTCTCCAGAGAATAAGCTGGGTACAGGATTAAAACTATGGGTGTTCTGCTTTTTTTTTTTTAAGGGATTTATGTGTTTATTTGAAAGGCAGAATTACTGAGAGTCAGAGACAAAGAGAGATCCCAACCACTGGTTCACTCCCCAAATACCCACACAGCCAGGGCTGGGTCGGGCTAAAGCTGGGAATCAGGAGTTTCATCTGGGTCTACCATGTGAGTAGCACAAGCACTTGGGCCATCTTCTGCTTTCCCAGGAATATCAGCAGGGAGCTGGATGGGAAGCAACGCCCCTGGATTGTGAACAGGCTCCCAAATGGATGCTGGCATCACAGGTGGTGACTTAACCTACCACACAACATTGCTGGCCCCAGATAGTACAACTTATATCCAGTGTGGTCAGAAAGGGCTTTTCTGAGGATGCAGTGCAGAGTGCTGGACAAGAATTTTCCAGACAGAGGAAACAGAAAAAGCTCTTAGGAAGACATGTTTGAGAAACGAGAGGAGGGGTCTGGGTAGCTGGATCAGAGGGAGTGGAAGTAAGGAGAGGGGTTCAGTGGCTGCGAGGAGGGGTGGGAGGCTTCGTCCTGCAGGGCTGTACCCCAGCCCCTGCAGGACTCCCCATGTACACTGCTCCTTCCAGCCCTGCTCACACGGAAGCTGCCCCCACCCCCCATAGATTTTGGAGGCTCCAGGACTAGGGGTGGGAGGGTAGCAGGTGACTCCTTGCTTTCCTAAGGTCACCCAGTTTGTCCAAGTGGCTGCGTTCTTTGTTCAGCTGAGAGCCTCATGCACCCAGAGAACTCATTCCCTCTCTCATTCTGAGTTCTGCATGCCTATTCTGTCTCTAGCACCTGTTGGGCTCCAGGGACCTGGGTAAGGCATCATCACTGGCCTGGACGAGTTGGCAATTCGCAAGGAGGAACAGACACATCCCAGGTTATCACCTGGAATGATCAGTGATCTGATGACGGAACTGTGGATGCCCCAGACTGGCCTTCAGCCTCAGGAAAGGCCTCCTGGAAGAGGAAGGGATACAGAAGGCACCAGTGGACATGGAGAATGGGGAGAAGCCACAGAGGATGAGGAAAGTACAACTGCTGCCCAGGAGCACAGGGCAGGTGCCTCTGGACCTCCAAGGCATGAGCCTGGACCACTGCCCTGCTGTGTGGCCTCAGGCAAGTCCCAGGGCCTGAGCTGCCCCTTGGTCCCCTCCCCTGAAAAACGGGGTTCATCAGAATGGAAGCTCGCTGGGTTATTTGAAAGAACATTCCAGAGTGCTCAACACAACTCCCAGCACTTGAAGCTAGCCATTAGTTTGGTCCTTCTTATTGCCACCCCCCTGACAAGTGACTGGGACACAAGGAGGTGGGCGTACACTGATGACTTGGAAAATTGGCTCCGAACGGGTTAAAACTCAACCAGCTGCTTCCAGTGCTGGTGATAAGGTTGGCGGAAACACAATGCAGGTCCCCGGCCCTGTCACCACGAATTTATGAGGTGCTGGTCACTTCGAACCAGAGAGCAGGGGCTCCCCCAGGCAGGGTCAGGGGCCAGAGGGGCCTCAGGACTTTGTTGAAGACTGCAGAGAGAAAAACAGAGCCAGGCAGCGCCCCCCACTCCTTGTCCCCATCCCCCTATCCCCCAACCAGCAAGAGGAGAAGGAGGGGCGCGGGGAGGGACACCAAAGAGGGAGACCCATGAATGTTAGCCAGGTGCAGACCGGGATCCCGATAGGGGAGGGCGGGCAGGAGTGGTAATGGGAAGGCAAAGGGGAATGGCGGATAGTAATGGGGAAAGCGAGGTAGGAAGATTGAGAACCAAAGAGAGAGAGATGGTAAAACGCCTGGAGGAGGAAGAGCGAGGGGGTTGTGGTGCGAGAGGAGAGAAAGAAAATCACGGGCGGGCGGAAAGAGGTACCCCCGTGGGCGTGCGCCGGCGGGTGTACCTGCCGCCTCCTGGCCGTCGGCGGGCTCTGCAAGTGCCTGAGTGCGGAGGCGCGGGAAGAACGCTCGGCCGTGGGCTGCGCAGCCGTCGGACATCCGGGATCGCATTCGGACGACCCCGGCCCCACGCCGCGCGCGCGCCGGCCCCGAGCGGGTTAACGCACCGCCCTCGCCGCGCCGACTCCTCCCCGCGGGGGCAGTGCCCGGGCTGAGCCGACGCCCTCACTAGACCTGGCGGCGGGCCCCTGGGCAGACTGCAGGTCCCCCCGCGGCTGAACCGACCTGGTGCGCCGCGGATGCGCCTGGCGCACCCTGAGCAGCTGCCGCACGGCCGCCGGGCGGTCAGGCAGCCTGGGGAACCCCCACGCGCCCGCTGGGCCCAGGTTGCCCAGATGCGGGCACCACTCTGCTTGCTGCTGCTCGTTGCTCACGCGGTGGACATGCTGGCTCTGACCCGAAGAAAGAAGCAAGGTACGAGGGACTGCAGGGCTGGGTGACCGGATGGTCTGCGAAGCAGGCGTGGGCATGGTCCTCTGGCGCTGGAGCCACTGGCTCTTTCAAGTAGGTAGCAGTCCCACTTCAGAGGTGGGAACACTGAGCCTCTAGGGAACCCAGGCTGGACCAAGAAGGCCACCAAGGATCCAACAAGGCTCTCTCACTACATCCTCTGCCCCCACCCCTTCCCCGCTCCGTGGCAGCAGCCAGGAATGGTTGCTCCATGTGCAGCCGGGGACATGCAGGGACTAGGGGACAAAGATGGTGTCTCAAAACCACCCCAGGTATCCATGCAGAGCCCAGCAACAAGTGTCAGCAGCATCACCTCCCTGAAGATCCCTTCTGGTGAGCTCAGCCACACCTGAAACCTGAGTTCAAGTTCACGTGTCTGGGGATGATTTGGGTGAACAGGTGGGGCCCACTTTTTTCTCTTATAACCTGCTAGAGCCATTAGAAATGTGACCCAAGGTTCAGACCAGAAGTGATCAAGAGTCCTTGGAGATTCTATGCCCCAGCCCCTGGTTGCCAGCCAGAAGGTCTTTGAGAAGTAGGTTTAGGTTTGTCCCTGCGAGAGTAAGAAGTGGTATAGCCTGGACACAGGCCAGAGGAGAGTGAGGCAGTGAACAATCCCTCCTGCCTGAGCCGAGCAGCCGTTCAGCCTGGGGATGCCAGTTTGAGATTCCACATCCAAATGCCATGTCCTACCCTTCCGCAGCCCTATGTGGTCAGAACTCCATGGATCCTTCTGGCATGTGGGCCATCCCAGTTGATAAAGCAGGGTGCCAAGACACAGACAGGTTAGGTAAGTGCTAGCTTGTCCAGTGGCTAAATGGAAGACCACAGTGTCCTTCTGCCCTCTGGGACTTCTGAGGCATGCATGCACTTAGTGACAGCTGGAGTGGAGCAGGAAGCACAAGGGGACTGTGGGAGAACGGGGCCGGCTGGGGCGGAGGGAGGGTACCACCCTGACAGGGCTGCACAGAAGGGCCAAAGGAGTGGACAGGCAGGAGTCTTCAGGTACACTGGGGGATTGGGGACCCTATGTGGGAACGCCTCTGTGAGTGGCCCTTGTTAGTGTAGCCTCTGATGTCAGCCTTTCCGGATTCAAATTTCTGTTACCAGCTGCGTCTCCTGCTCACTAATGTCCATCGCAGGCACCTTTAGATCTCCCGGGTCTTTCTCAGAGCCCAGAATGACCAAAACAACAAAACAAAGCCATTCAGGCTTTGAGAATGGGAGTAGAGACCCCACAGCCAATGAGGATGGGGGTACCCCAAGCTGGTGCGTGCGTTAGCCAAGCAGCTAGGGACACAGGTTCCTGCTTGGTCTACATCCCTTTCCCTACCTGCCATGTCCGTGGGAGAAGAGGCAGATGTTGTGGATGAGGAAACAGATTCAGAGAGGGATGCTGACTCGTGCCGGGTTGCCCAGGGATTCCGATCTGGATGATGTGCTGCTCAGAGGACGGCTCCAGAGCTGTGGCCTGGAGCCTCATTGCCCCCCTCTTTAAGCTGCTTCTCAGTTCTGAGAGACAGAAGGAAGAGGGCAAAGAAGTGGCAACATGAAAAACTCCCCCCTCGCTGGCTGCATCCCCAGCTCACCGCCACCCCCTACACCCTAGAAGTCTGGTGAGGTGATCAGACCCTCTGCTCCTCGCACTGTTGAGATTTGGTGAGGGGCTCCTGGCTTCCCCCGCCAGCAGTGGCGTCCAGCCTCTGGGACACACACTTGCCTGCTCAGCATCTTCAGACAGTCTGTGGTTCCGTAACTAGTCTGATGCAATGCAGGCAGCCTTGGATGTTGGTCCCACTCTTGCCTGGGTGGTGTGGGCCAATCTGGGGTAAGTGGGTCTCTCTCCCCATTGTCACTGGTGTGGGGTTGGGAGCTAGACGCACCCGTCTCGTGGCCCGGGGTACAAGGCAGCTGTCAGTCTGGGAAATGTTGGATTTAGCAGAGTTCCCGACCACAAGGCTCTGAGAGCCTTGCGGAGAGGTGGGGTGGAGAGGAGATGGGAGACTGTTTCTCACAAGGTGTCTGCTTGGAAAATTCTGCACGTGGTCCCTGAGGGTCCTACCCACTTTGACCTTCTTCCCGTCTAGCTTTGGCAGGAGCCTGGGTCCTCCATCCCCTGGGGAATTTGGCAATCCTTCATTCATTCCTTCATTTATTTGTTGATTCGTTCCCTTGTCTGTTCAACAAATGTAACAGGGCGACTTCTGTTTCAAGCTCTCTGCTGGGTGGGGACACCAAGGTGGGCAGACCTGGGCCTGTCCTTGAGTGACTTTCCACGTGGAGGAACCCCCTTTTCCTGCCCTTCCCCAGCTTCCAGTCCATGCCAAGTTTGCAACCTCAGATTAGGAGGAGTGGCTTGCCAGGCCCCTGCCACAGCCCCGTCTGAGCCGTCACCCTCAGGGCCCTGGCTTCCTCAGCCCCAACTTCACTCACACTCAAGCGTCATTGGTGTTGGACAAAACCCAATTTCTGTGGTTCTAAGACGAGACGGAACCAAAGAAAAAGGCTTGAGAGAGGTTCTTGGATCTCAAGTGTCTCTTACAAAACAGCGTTTTGATTCATTAAGTAGAAAGGAATAGAAACCAGATGGGGACATTTCTCTCGAAACATACTGGGGTGTCCTTTCTGGCAGTGGGGCATGCTGGCAGAGTGAGCCGGGGGTTGCTGCATGTCTCCGATGTGTGTTGCATTTAGGCCATGGGGAGGAGACAGAATAGAACCAACTCCCCCCCCACCTCCCGACTACTTCCAAGACCTGCTGGGGAGGGGCCCCTCGTTCACAGTGAGCTTTTAGATCCTTCCAGATCTGAGGCCAGAAGGGACACAGCAGGGAGCCTTGAAGTCCAGGTGGCCTTGTTGTACCCTAGACAGGTGACCATGTGCAAGCCACATATCTTCTTTGCTCCTCAGTGTCCATATCTGTAAAATGGGAGCAAACATACCTATCTCTCCTGGAGAGAACATGCCCACAGGCTTCACAAGGATTTGACCACTCCCCTTCTTACTGCAAAGGGTAAGGGTGCAGCTGTGAGGGAGAGGGGAACCTCCTGTGGTTTGACCCTTTGTTCTATCCCTTGCTTCAGGTGCAACCCCAAGCAAACCTCCTCACCTCTCTGAGCCTCTTTTTTCTTCTTATAGAGTGACCCTGAGTCCCTGCAGGGACTGTTACTTGGTGTGAATCTCACACTTCAGTGTAGATGGCATAGTCCCCGTGTAGAGGCCAAACCCTGGGCATGCAGGGGACTGAAGGCAGGGGCAAGGAGAAGGGGGACCCTGTTTCTTGTCTCCTGGTCAGGGACCTGGCTGGGCACAGAGAATAGGTGTCCCTGAAGTGCTGGCACCCGATGGACCCAGCGTCCCAGGCACAGCGGGGAGAGTGGCAGGGTTGAGGGAGAAATGGGCAACAAGACCGTGGGATGGTGCTGGATCTGGGTCAGACACTGCCTCGGCCCAGTGCTTGTGCCCTGCTGGCCTGTGTTTCCTCCTAACCCGGGGCCACTTGAGCAATGGAAAGCACAACCTTGGCTCGGGGTCAGTGGTCACAGTCGCCGAGCTCCGCCCAGCCTCCCTCTTCTACCACAGCCGCCACCGCAACAGCAGTTCTGCCTCCAGGCAGGGTGGCAAAAGAGACGTCATGTCCCTCTCATGCTGTCCCCCACCGCCCCGGGAACCCCTTCATGCCCTGTGGATGGAAATCCCCCAACTTCCTGCCCAGCCACCAAAGCAAATGCCTGGGGCCACTGAGAGCACCACAAATCCTTCTAATTCCACCAGTGTTGTACCCATTTCCCAAACTGGGGAACTGAGGCTTACAAAGGGGCAGTGATCTGCCCAGCTGCCACAGTGGTTGAGTTAGGATATGTGTAGGCATGGAAATGAGACATGCCAGTGACTCTGCAAGGATCTTCAGAAAGGTGGGGTGGAGGACTCGATCAGGAAGAGGGGACATCAGGGTGAGGACTCCTGCAGGGAGTGAGGGAGAAGGGCCCAGTCTCGGCAGGCTTTGGGTGCCACTTGGCTATCATGGTCAGCACGTTGAAGTGTTTGTCCAGTCATTCCTCTGGGTCAGGCCCTGAGCCCAGTGCTAGAAGAGGAGAGCAGATTTGGGCACTGCACCACCCCTGCTGTCAGAGGGCCCAGCATTAACTTGAGATCCATGATTGAGAAGACCCTGGCTGGGACCACCCTAGCTCCTTAGCACACCATGAGAGGTGGGAGGATGGTGACAGTCCAGGGCTCAGGTCAGAAAGCTGTGACTCCAAGACAGAACCTGGTTTGGCCAGGGTGTCCCCTGGACCGGCTAGTCCATTCTGTGTTCTGGCTAGTGAAAAACAGATACCCGTTGGAATTCAGGTTAATACACATCAGCCATCAGGGAAATGGATTTTGTAAGATCCACAGTGTTTCTGAATGGAATGGAGCAGAACAAAACCAAACAAGAGATAGACTACAACGAGGTCAGCAACACTTTTGTAAAGAACCAAGGAGTTAATAGTTGAGTTGTTGTGGGCCACATGGGATCTGCCATGTGGTTCACCGTTCTCAGCTTACCAGCATGATCCAACAGTCAGATTTGGTCCCTGGGCTACGGTTCACCAACCTCTACTTTAAAAAAACAGCAGAGTGCATGGCAAATGTTAAAATGATTATTTTGAAAAATGCTAATGTGAGTTTACACATACGTATGTATACTGATTTCTGTACTCTGCATTGTGTGTACTTATGTACAAAGGTATATATTTAAGGATTTATTTTTCTTGTTGGAAAAGAAGAAAGAGAAAGATCTTCCCTTTGTTGGTTCGCTCCCCAAATGGCTGTAGTAGCTGGTGCTGGGCCAGGCCAAAGCCAGGAGCCAGGAAACCCATCCTGGTCTCCTGCTTGGGTGCGGGGGCCCAAGCACTCAAGCCATCCTCTGTTGCTTTCTCAGGTGCGTTAGTAAGGAGCTGGCCTGGAAGCCAAGCAAC